TCTCCATCACCATAGTTGCGTTCCATGGTGTAGAACCGCTTCCTCTAGGTGAGTATGCTTAGCAACCCTTTTTGCAAATGTCGATCTTGAACTCTCTTCCATGCTTGGGCAGCTGCTACTTGCTTCCCCTTCAGGTCAATCAGCATCTTTAGGAGCTCTAGCTGGCCTTCCAAAGCCCAACACAGGTACTGGGACGCTTCCTTGTTCTTGCGGTCCCATGCTTCCTGTGCCTTAAGTAGCTCCTCCGCACTAAGCCGTTGCCTTCTGGTTCGCGGTGCTGCTGATGCACCTCCACTTCCCTCACTTATAGATGAGCGAGAGGCTCCCCTAGCCCCTGCTCCCTCTTGGTTAGACACTCCAGCAGATGCCTCTGCTTCATCAGCTTTAGGTCTTCGCTCTGATCCCTCCAAAACGCCTTCTAGGTCTTTGATACCTAGCCAAAGCGTAAACTGGAACCGCCATAACGAAAAATCCAAGCCGCTGAACCTAGGAGGGCCATCTAATTTCTAGGCCATGAGTAACCCTAGATCTGGAGGTCCTTAAACCAATTCGAAATATGATGAAAAGAGAGAATGTCGCAGGCCTAACTCGCTCTGATACCACTGATGGAAAGCGTGCTAAAATGGAGAGCGTAACCTAAATTCTAAGTCCGCCGACTTCGACGGAACATTGCGTGCAGCTCACGTAACCTTAAACTATGAGCAGGTACCCGTTGGAAAGGTAGTAATATATAATTTCCAGAATAGTAACGCACGTTTTCAACCAAGATCTAGGCCGATCGATATCGCGATTTAAGTGTGACGGGGTATTCTGGCAGAATTACTTGGCAGCCATGGATTAGATCAAGAAAGAACATTTAACAAGAGTTCAGATCCGCAAAGTGACGAGTTGGTCAAACCCTACCTACCCAACCCTCTTCCACCGCCTGACTCCGTGCTTCGCCAGGTTCTTAGCCTCCCGTTTTCTACTTGCGTCCCGTTACAGCCTAGCGCACCACTGTCTGCTCCTTCTCCTTACACTAAGCAGACACACTTGGTTACAGAGCGTCGTGAGCCTGCGTCTCGTCCTGCCTTGCCTGTTCGCGCGCATTGCACGGGTCGTCGTGTTCCTCGTGAGCGAACGCCTCCTGTCTCTGGCACGCATGCTGTGGCACTTCGTCATTCCTCTGTTCCACAGCGTATTCCTCTACCGTCTCCTCCTGCTTCTTCTCTGCCTGACGTTCAGGGCCTTGAGTCTGATCTGGTTCGTGCCGCTCACCCTAGTATCACGCGTCTGCTAGCCACTATTGTCACCGACCCGTCGTTTGAGTCTGCTGCTGCGTCTGCCTTAGTCTCTGAGCTTGTTCACTTTGCTGCTGCTTGTCCTCTTGACTTCGCTGCTAGTCTTGTTGTTGAGTCTGAGTCTGTCTGTCTTCCGTCCGTCGAGGGTAAGTGTGCTCTTGGCACGGACGTCCTTGAGGTCAGGCATGAAGACTTGGAATGTCTTGCAGCCGCTGTACCTCATCTCGAGGCCATGCTGCTTGCCCTTGAGGGAGACCTAGATGCACCAGACATCCCGACCCCGCGCTCTTACGCAAAGGCGATCACGGGTGAGTACTCCTCTCAGTGGCAGACAGCCATGGACGCAGAGATGGAATCCTGGAAGTCCAGAGGCACTTACGTCGACGCAGTTCCCCTTCCTGGGGCGAACGTAGTTGATGGCATGTGGCTTTTCAGGGTGAAGCGGCCGCCAGGTTCTCCGCCTGTCTTCAAGGCTCGTTACATTGCACGAGGCTTCAGTCAGCGATAGGGAGTTGACTTCTTCCAGACCTTCTCCCCCACCCCGAAGATGACAACTTTTCGGGTACTGCTGTACGTCGCCGTTCAGCGTGATTACGAGCTTCACTCTCTGGACTTCAGCACAGCGTTCTTAGAGGGCAATCTGCACGAGGAGATCTGGCTGCGCCGCCCACCTGGCTTTAGTGGGTCGTTCCCTCCTGGTACCCAGTGGAGCCTCCGCCGGCCAATCTACGGTCTCCGTCAGGTGCCTCGTGAGTGGCACGACACTGTGAGGATGACACTTGCGGCTCTTGGGCTTGCACCTTCCACTACTGACCCGTCGCTGTCTCTACGCACTGACTCTTCATTGCTGCCGTTCTACATCCTCGTGTACGTCGACAACTTAGTCTTTCCCATTGCTGACACTGAGGCTCTCGCCCTTGTGAAGTCGGAGCTCCAGAAGAGACACACGTGCACAGACCTGGGTGAGCTACGCAGCTACTTTGGCCTGCAGATCTCCCAGGATAGAGCACGGCGCACCATCACACTGACTCAGTCACACATGGTGCAGCAGGTCCTTCAGCGTTTCGGCTTCACTTGGTCCTTGCCACAGTCTACTCCTCTGGCTACCAGTCATTTGCTCTCAGCCTTACCTTCGGACGAGTCCGTAGAGCCGAGTGGCCCGTACCCAGAGTTAGTGGGCTGCCTCATGTACCTGATGATTTGCTCTCGTCCTGACCTCGCGTACCCTCTTGGCCTTTTGGCATGCTACATGGCTCCTGGTAGGCACCGAAAGGTGCACTGGGATGCTGCGAAGAGGGTACTGCGCTACTTGTGCCGTACATCGGGCATAGGGCTCGTGCTTGGAGGGTGGAGCTCAGTTGTCCTCACTGGGCACTCAGATGCTTCTTTGGTTGACGACCTAGCTACGCAGCGGTCATCACAGGGTTACTCGTTCAGCCTTGGCGCTGGCTCTGTTTGTTGGCGGTCTATACGCTCGTCTTCAATTCTCAGCTCGAGCTGTGAGGCTGAGATCTACGCCACAGCCATGGCTGCACAGGAGCTACGCTGGCTCACCTACCTGCTGACCGACTTGGGAGAGAGGCAGGCCTCTGGTTAACACGGTGAATCACCCTTATGATGTTGACTAAAAGGCTGGTTTTCATGATGCACCCTTTTTTTTCAGAGTGGTTCATTTCTAGACCCTTACAAAAGATGTGTTTGGTTCTAGGACACTGATATTTCAGAGTTAAGAGGTGTAGACACACTGACGAAACCGAGTTCGCTCTAACAGGGATATTACATCTTTCCGCATAAAATATGACATTCCGGAATTCCACAACAGACTTCTCCTTCATCGGATATCGAACCTGCATCCTTAGCACCAAAATTACACCACAACTGTCTGCAACATGAGCAGGCCCTCATATTCGTTTTTAGCCTGTCTCATTCGTCAGACTAGTACACAGTTTTTGTCTGAAACTCTCAGAGTTGGCATAAAAAAAAGTCTGAAATTTCAGAGTGTCGTGAAGTAAAAGTCTGAACATTCAAAATCAATGTATTCAATGTTTCATCAGAAATGCATTCAATGTTTCATTCATCTGTTACTGAAACGTGCAAGACTAAGGGGATTTCCAGGAGAACATGCTCTGACATGGCGAATTTTTGTGTCAGGGCAAATCTTGTGGTGTGAAAGGGTGAATCTGCAATGTTAGGTGGAATTGTTCTATGATTGGACGAAGAAGTTGTGCTGTGACGGCACAAATCCGTGGTGGCAGGGCGATTTTGCTGTGATTGGGCGAAAGTTTTGTCAGAATCCCAACCACTGGACCATTGGGATAAAAGGGCTTGTTAAGTAGCGGGTCAGTGCGCCCATAACCCCCTAGAACAAGGAGCATGTAACCCTTCCCTAGGATCAGTCGGGGATCACCAGTGGACCTCTGACACCCCCCCGCACTGGGATGCCCGAAGTGCACACACTGGGATTCGAACCCGAGACCTTCGCTCTGATACCATGTCAGAATCCCAACCAATAGACCATTGGGATAAAAGGGCTTGTTAAGTAGCGGGTCAGTGCGCCCATAACCCCCCAGAACAAGGAGCCTGTCACCCTTCCCTAGGATCAATCGGGGATCACCAGTAGACCTCTGACAATTTTGTGCTGTAAGGCGCGGATTTTGCTGTGTCAAGGCGATTCTGCGTTGGAAATGCAAATCTGCTGTGACCCGTGAAGTCCGAATCACCAGTCAAGATCGTGTTTGTACTCTGAATGATCAGAGTACACTCCCGGAAAACTCTGAAATTTCAGAGTTAGCCTTAAAAAAAGTCTGAAACTTTCAGAGTTGAGGCCCTAAAAAGTCTGAAATTTACAGAGTACACTGAAAAAAAAAATCTGAAATATCAGAGTTTTTTTGCCAAATCAGAGAAAAAGGTGTCAGAATATTATGCTCTAGCCTGTAGTGGGGTGCTCCATAGCGAGTACAACCCTTCTAGGGTTTGCTATTTGTATCCCCATTTTTACTAGTTCAACCCTCTTCTTTCTTTTCAACTTTCTCATGGTATCAGAGCAGGTCGATCCTCTTGGATCGATCCTGTGGGTGGGCTCACCACCTCGTTGCTTCCGCTGCAACTGCTACTGCTACTCGCTGTGCCGCACGCCCCGTGGCGTGCGGCAGTTTTTTCTTCCCGCCGTGCGCCCCGAGGCGCGCGGCGGTTTTCTGCCCGCCGTGCGCCCCGAGGCACGCGGCGGTTCTCTGCCCGCTGTGCGCCCCGAGGCGCGCGGCGGGCTTCTGCCCCGTCACTCGGCGCGTCGCCCTCGGGAGGCGCTGCAACAGGCGACGGGGACCCGCGCGTCGGCCCCGTCGCCGCCCGCATCGGCCCCGTCGCCGCCCGCAGCGGGCTCGTTGCCGCCCGCAGCGGCCCCGTCGCCGCGCGCAACGACCCCGTCGCCGCCCGCATCGGCCCCGTTGCCGCGCGCAGCGGCCCCGTCGCCGCGCGCAGCGGCCCCGTCGCCGCCCGCAACGACCCCGTCCCCGCCCGCATCGGCCCCGTCGTCGCCGCCAGCGGCCCCGTCGCTGCCACTTGCGGCCCCGGCCCCGCCCCGGCCATGCATCGTCGTCAGCCGCGGCGCACCGGGGGCACGTGCACCGCCCCCCCCTCTTTTCCTGTCGCCCGTCGCGGCTCCTTCGGGGGCCACGGGAGGGGCGACGTGGGGGTGGGGGCGAGAGTCGCTCCTTCTGCCGCCTACTTTGGCGCCCAGGGAGGCCGCGCGTCGCCCCCCCCCCCCCCCCCCGTAGCCTCCATACACGCCATCCCGCCCTGCCCTGTGTTCGGGTTTGGGGGTGGCGAGTTGGGGGGTGGCGGGTGTGTGGTCTCCCCTGCTCCTCCTCCTCCTCTGTCTCCCACTGCCGCAGCTGCCGCTGAGGGGGGTGGGTATGTGGGAGTCGACGGAGTTGTGCTAGGGGGTGGGGTGTGAGTGACCCTAGCGGTGTAGCAGCGGGTATGTGCCAGGGGGTGTGGGATAGTTTGGGGAAGCTGAATGGAGGTTGCCGTCGTGTCGCCAGCAGCACATGTATTCCGGGGACTTCATCCGGTAGCCCAGTAATAGCCAGCTGTGCCAGCCGCCCGTGGGTCCGTTGCTCGTCTGCCGCTACTTTTGCCGCGGGGCCAGTTACTCCAGTATTCCGGAGCGTTGTTCCGGTAGCCGCTGTGCCAGTGTGCCTCCTGTTGCCCGTGTGTCTGCAGCTTCATTCGTCACTCTTATCTCCTCTCCTCTCACTCTCTCTCCTCCTCCTCACTTGCCCGTTGTGACTACCACTAGCTTTGCTCATAATTGTTAACCTTAAACTATTGCTTCTTGAACTTGTGCTCTGAATGTGTGGTGACATTGTGATCCACCCTGAGCTTGTACTGCTTTGCTTGCTCTGCTGATTACACCCCACTTTGGCTATGGGGGTGTGTCAGAATATTATGCTCTAGCCTGTAGTGGGGTGCTCCATAGCGAGTACAACCCTTCTAGGGTTTGCTATTTGTATCCCCATTCTTGCTAGTTCAACCCTCTTCTCTCTCCTAAAATTTCACAAAAGGTCTGACTTCTGAGGGCCTGAACACGAGACATTGTAAGCTGAGCAGATATATGGTAAGTGTCCGCTAAGTATAAACCCTGCTATGAAAGAGCATTTCTGTCAAGTACCCTTTTAGAAAGAGTGAAGACGGAGCATTGGCCTTACCAGAAAGAGAGGCTCAAATCCTAACCAGAGGCCTCGTTCTCCTCCAGTTCTATACATCGACAACAAGGCTGCCATTGCCTTGTGTCAGGACCACAGAATGGAGCACAAAACGAAGCACATCGCTCTGCATTACTTCCTTGCTTGAGAGTTGCAGCAGCGTTGTCAGCTTCGTGTCGCTCACGTGCCCACCTGGGCCAACACGGCTGATGTGTTCACCAAGGCCCTTTCGGCTGGTGATCATCAGCGCTTTTGCAGTGCTCTAGGCCTGGTGCCTATGTTTCCTCACTTACTGTAGACCCTGGTTGTACTGTGATTTATATGTAGATACCTGCATGTTTACTCTTGCTAGGTAGTGATCACTATACTGCTGTTGTTGCATATATGCCTTTGCATGTGAACTGGCCTTGTGGCCCCTTTGCTTGTGCTCGGAGTGTCTTGTGACATTGTGATCCACCCTGAGCTTGCTTTGCTTTTCTTGACTGGTCGTGTGACCCCTTGTTCTCCCCCACTTTGCCTATGGGGGTGTGTCAAACTATATCTATGCTAGTCAGGCCCTCAGATTCGTTTTTTGCCTGTCTGATTCATCAAACTAGTACAAAATTTTAGTCTGAAACCCTTAGAGTCGGTATAAAAAAAAGTTGAATTTTCAGAGTGCCTTAGGAAAAAAGTCTGAAACATCAATGTATCTAATGTTTCATCAGAAATGTAATCAATGTTTCATCTGATATTGAAACATGCTAGACTAGGGGGATTTTAGGGAGAACATGCTCTGACAGGGCGAAAAACTGTGTCAGGGCAAATTTTGTGGTGTGAAAGGGCGAATCTGGAATGTCAGGTGAAATTTCAAGGTGATAGGTCGAAATTTTTGTGCTCTGACGGCGCGAATCTTTTGCGTCAGTGCGATTTTGCTGTGATTGGGCGAAAATTCTGTGCTGTAAGGCGCATATTTGCTGTTTCAAGCCGATTTTGCATTGACTTAGCGAATCTGCTATGACCCGTGAAGTTCAAACCGAATCACCAGTCAAGAACGCAAGCGGAAAACGGAATCGGTACGCATTTGTACTCTGGATGATCAGAGTACACTCACAGAAAACTCTGAAACGTCAGAGTTAGCTTTAGAATTTCTCTGAAAATTACAGAGTTGGGGCCCTAAAATTTCTGCTTTTAACAGAGCTCACTTGAAAAAAAAATCTGAATTCTCAGAGTTTTTCATGCAAATCAGACAAATTTCTCTGACTTCTGAGGGCCTGGTGCTAGTTGTGTGTATGCTATAATGGGGTAGCCCATGTGGAGTACAACCCAATATTAGAGTTAGAACTTGTACCCACTACCCGGGGCGCTAGGTCCCAGCCCTGCTCCGGGCCGCCTTGGCGCTGGCTGGGCACGGAACTTCCTCCCGCCCTTTCCGCGAGCGACGCGCCCAGGGGCGCCGTTCCCGTGACCCCGTCTTCCGCTCGCCGCCTGGTCGCGCTCCTGCGTGTCTGCGCCCTCGGCAGCAGCAGATGTTCCAGCGCTCACAGCGGCCACCGATACCTTCCCCTCGACCGGGGTGTCGGCCAGGTTCTCTGCCGCGGTCAAAGCAGTCACCTCCACAGCCAACACCGCCGCCTTTACCGGCGCCGGTGATGCAGACAAGGCCACCGCCTCAGACGGATCCTGATCCAACGACTGACCCAGCTCCAGCGTCTGCGGTTGTGCCACCTGGTGGTTTGCAGAGCGTGAAGTTGAGCCGCCGCCAAAAGCGGCGGCAGTTCCGCCAGCCAGCCCCAATGTCGTCACGGCCTCCGCTGGCGCCTCCGCGGCAACAGCCACATCCTCCACAGCCCCCACCGACGCAGTCACCGCTGCGACGCTTCCCCCTTCCCCCGCAGCCGCCGCCGCCTCACCCCCCGGCGTCTCCTGCACCTCCGCCCTCCTCATCGGCTGCTTCGTCACCGGCGCCGTTGGAATGCGCGCAGCTGTTTCTTGGCGGGAGGCGCATCCCAATCCCGTGGGAGGTGATGGGGTATCTGAGGGTATCCCAATCCCATCTCTCTCTCTCTCTCTCTCTCTCTCTCTCTCTCTCTCTCTCTCTCTCTCTCTCTCTCTCTCTCTCTCTCTCTCTCTCTCTCTCTTCTTCTTCTTCCCTTTCGCGATGTTCAACGAGCCTTAGGTGGGCTGCCGTATCGTGTCTCGTTTGTTTGTTTGTTTGTTTTTTTGGTAGCGTGCCTTGTATCGCGGGCTATTTCCCCGTCGTGGCCATTGGGCGTAGTAGTGTGCATGCCCCACTCCATTTTTATGCCTCCTTGTGTGCTTGCCTTACTAGTGGCCCTCTCTTGTCATGTTAAATTGGGCAGGTGCTGGCCGAATCGTGTGGCCTTGATCATTTCGCACTTCTCACTTGCTTGCTTTCTTTCTCGTCTTACTTTCCTTCTTCTCTCTCTTTTTTTTTTTTTTTTTTTTTTTTTTTCACCTACAGCAGATACCTCCACTCTTTGAGGGCTGCTTGCTTCAACAACCCAGGTTTCAAACGTTCAGGTATTATTCATTAGCCACACAACAACAATAATCCACATTTAATGCCCTTCCGGCCCATATTCCATACGCATATATCTCATGATTGCCATTCATGGCTAAGACATAGGACTCCTAGTCCTACCCCCTTCACTCGGGGTCGGCCGGCGGCCGTTCTACTCGCGCAACCGGTCTGGCCAGCGGCCTAATTGCGCCATGTTGCCCTTGCAACATCCTCTCGGCGCCTCAAGTGGATTCCCTCTCAAAGGGTCACACCACCGGCGCGGGACCTTGGGGTCCTCGCCCGCTTTCAGGGCATACATTGGCCATGTGGCCTGGCTGCCCGCACTTGAAGCAAGTTCCACGAAAGCTCCTGCCGTTTTCGTCCATTGGTGGCCCGCGTTTGTTGCCAAATGCTCCGGTTCCTCGCCCTCCACCTCGTGCGGCACGACCGAGATTGCCTTGCGCGCGTTCCATGGCCGCAACGTCCGCCATGGCTTGCTTGAATGGTCGTGAGGTAAACAAGCTCTTCTCCTCGTACATCTTGAACCGGTTAGCGACGCGGAAGTTCGTGCAGTCGGTGACGTGAAGAAGCTTGAAACGATTGTTGATGAACGTGAGTGCCTCCTCGAGAATTTCGATGGCACTTGCCGGTTCGTTGAGTCGCACCTTCTGTTCCGTGTGCATCAAGTAGGCGCGGAGGTCCTCGAGGAGCTCGGCTTGCTCACGGACAGCCGCGTTCTTGAATGAAGATGCGGTGAGGTTGGGGTTGGAGGTGGGAAGAGGGGGAAGGTGCTCGGTGGTTGAAAAAAATGCATTATCAGCGGGTACCTCACCAGCTTCGTCGTCTGAAGTGTCGCTGTCGGCGGGATTTTCCGGTCCCGGGGTAGCCTTGAGAGTGGCGCCCTCGGTGCGTGCGATTTTTGCCGTGCGAGCGCGTTGCACCGTCTCCCTTTTTTTCCTTTGCGCTTTTAGCAGAAATTGAAGTCGCGTTTGGTGTAGCGGTGGCTTCCGTAACGGCGGGGACTTGCTGCTGTAATAGGGACAACAGCTGCTGCAGTTGGGCCGGGGTGAAGACGGGCAAGGCCACAGGCGCGTCAGGGGCCTGAGGCGCGTCAGGGCCCACGTGCGCCTGAGGCCTCGCGTCAGGCGCGTGTGCGTGCCTGCGGCGCTGACGCTGACGAGGGGTGCCGGTCGCGCTGGCCGGCGTTGACTTGGCACCCTCGGCGGTGGCCGGCGCCTCAGGCCCCTCAGGGGCCACGTGCGCTTGAGGCCCCCCAGGGGCGCGTGTCCCAGCGAGGTCGGCCTCGCGCAGTAGGACTTCGACGGCGGTCGGGGCCGACTCCTCGTCGTCCGCCTGGCGCTTGTTACGACGTTCGCCCGTGGGATCGCGGGTAAAATTTACGTCATCGGGACGGGTCAGGGCGTTGGCGTTGTCACCGTTGTCGCCGTTAAGTGCCATTGTAGCTGCGTTGTGAGAGAAAATGTTTGAAAAGAGTGTCGACGGAGACTGAAAGCGAGGAAGTGATTTCTACTTCGCCAACTTGGAATTGGGAAGTCAAAACTTGACTAAACCGTTTGAAAAATGAGAGACGTGGGTGGAGGGAAATGACCTCCAGCCCACGTTTTGTACTCCAAAACAGGCGTTTAGCGTGGTTCGCCGATGACCATTGCTACATTACAGGCCGCTTCGCTTTCAAAATACACAATTTTGAAAAGCATTACAGCTTTTAAAAATATTCATATCTAGGGCACTTGTTCCCATCCTAGTCCCTTTTCTGTAAGAATCAAAAAGTCGCCGTAGACTTAGTCCAGCGGATCATACCGCTCGGCTCCATATATCTTTTCGACGAAAGGGGTGTGGCGCAGCGCAGCTTCCAGGCAGACGGGTGCAATTGGGTAAGTCTTCTCTTGGATTTGGAAGTTTTTCATCCGGATCAATAATGTGTCTTTTGCAAATAATTTTGCGTTGATGCAGTTGTCCGAGGAGGTTGTGCAAGATGTCGGAGTTAGTGTGATATCCCCATGTGCATGAGTAGAGCTCCTTTTCTCTTGGCAAAATCTTCTTTGCGGTCTCTTTTCCCACTTCTTACGTTTGTCCTTCTAGTACGAGGACCTTGACTGATGTCTCGTGGAGCGTCTCGAGTCTTGCTGCGTTATACGTGTCAAACATTATATATATTGTGGTTGTTTAGGCTACAGTGGGTTAGCCTATAGGGGGTACACATTTCTAGGGTTTGGTACTTGTACTTATTTTTCACTGTTAGTTCATTCATTCCTTTTCATTGATTTCAACATGGTATAGAGCAGGTCCTTCCTAGGACCGATTTTTTAGGGCCCACCACTACCTACCTACCTACCTACCTGCGCCTTAGGGCGCCTCGGTTTTCATGGCCCTTTAAGACCCCGTCGGCCCGCCCCTAGAGGCCCCGAACGGCCCACGCGCTCGCCCCTAGCGGCCCCTTTCGCCCCCGCGATCGCCCCTAGAGGCCCCGTCGCCCGCGCGCTCACCTCTCTAGAGGGCCCGAACGGCCCCGCGCTCGCCCCTAGAGGCCCCTTACGGCCCCGCGCTCGCCCCTAGAGGCCCCGTCGGCCTCGCGCTCGCCCTTAGCGGCCCCTTACGGCCCCGCGCTCGTCCCTAAAGGCCCCGATCGGCCCCGCGCTCGCCCTTGGCGGCCCCTTACGGCCCCGCGCTCGCCCCTAAAGGCCCCGATCGGCCCCGCGCTTGCCCCTAGAGGCCCCGAACGGCCCCGCCCAGTACGAGCCGCCCGACCCAAGCAGCCCGAACCGAGCCGCCCAGCCCAAACCGAGACACCCGAAGTAAGCCGCCCGCCCGAACCGAGCCGCGCCGCCCGATCTTAGCCGCGCCGCCCTTACCGAGCCGCGCCGCCCTACCTGAACCGAGCCGCGCTGCACGTACTAGACCGAGCCGCCCTACCTGAGTCACTACTACTGCTATTACTCCTGCTACTGCTATGGCTAGCCCTCCTGTGCTAGCTTTCGATGCTGAGGGCCGCCCAGTGAAGTTCGAAACCTGGCTAGATGACCTACACCTCTTCCTACAGCTCACTGCCAAGGAAGGCATCTCACTGTACGATCACGCCCTAGGCCATGCTACTGCTCCTGCTGCTACTGCTGACAGCGCTGCCCGCTCACAGTGGCAGACTCGTGACGCCCACGCTCGCTTCGCTATTCGCAACTCCCTGCCGATAGATGAGCGCAAGCACTTTGGGCAGCACAAGACTGCACAGGCACTGTACACTGCTGTTGTTCCACACAGTCGCTGACCTCATTACGCACCTCCGTACTAGTGAGGCTCGCTTCCGCACCGCCATGCCTGATGAGTTCCTTGCCAAGAACCCACCCCCGCTCTGGCTCACTCTCTACCACCTAGTCACCCGCCTCCCTGACACTCTGCGCTTAGTCAGGGACCACTTCCTAGCTCGCTGCCCCACTGAGCTCACCATTGCCCTCCTCGAGAAGGAACTCCTTATAGCTGAGGCTAGCATAGTCGCTGTAGGTGCCTCTCGTGGTGACCCCCGTACCTCGTTCTTTGAGGGGTGTTCTCCCCCCCCCCCTTCTTCCCTCTATCGCCTCTGCTGCTGTCGACCTCCTTGGTGCTGAGAAGGTCGGGACTGCGTCTGCTTCGAGCGGGCCCCCCAGCGGCAAGGGCAAAGGAGGCAAGGGCGGTGGCGGTGACGGCGGGGGAGGCGGTGGTGGGGGAGGTGGTGGCGGTGGGGGTGGTGGCGCGACTGGAGGGGCAGGTGGCAACGGTGGGGGTGGTGGCGGCGGCGGCGGGGGAGGTGGCCGGGGCGGAGGTGGTGGTGGGGGTGGCGGTGGACGCGGCGGTGGCAGGGGTTGGGGCGGTCGAGGAGGTGGCGGCGGAGGTGGTGGTCGTGGAGGCGCTGGCGATGGCCAGGGCCAGCAGCACACTCCGTCGCCCCAGGAGGTCCGTGAGTGGTACTCTCAGCACGGGGGGGGGGTTGGCCTTAGCTGCACGTACGTCATTCACACTGGTGACCGCACTGGCCAGCCGTGTGGGGGACCGCACGCCACACAGCACTGCTTCGCTCGTCTCAACGACGCTTTGCGTGTTCAGTTCCCTCAGGCCACTGAGCTGCCCCGCTGGGTTGATATCCTGAAGAAGGGGATTGATATCTATGCTCTAGACTTTGATGCTATTCTCACTGCTATGTATGTGATGTCTACTAGTGGAGAGGGTGCTGAGTACCTGTGTGTCCCGCCCGACCCGGGCATTAGGACTAGTGCGTCTGCCGCTCCAGGTACTCGCGTGTCTGCTACCCCAGGTACTGGTGAGGCAGCTGCTCTAGGTGCTTCTGCGTCTGCCCCCCCTGGTACTGAGTCGACTGCAGCACTGCACACCTTCACACTGGACTCAAGTGCTTCTCGCTGCTTCTTTCGTGACC